ATGCGCAGAACGGACTTTTACATGGTCTTTAAACACTCATTCATACAGCTGTTAGCAAGTTACAATCATCAAGGGAACCAAAGACTTTTTGAGGCCAAATATATTGACTTAATACCAATCTGTAAAATTTTTTGCATTTCCCACTGTTGCCAGGCCAAACTTTCTGCCAACCACTTCTTATATACCCTCCCGTTTTTAGGCATCAGAGAAAACCCGCATACGGGTGTACGCGCCCGCATACATCCTGGCAACGCCAACCAAACTTATACACAATGTTGACACTGTCGAAAATGCTGATGATTTGGCAACACACAAAGAATCTTCGAGTCTGTTGTTCTGTTGTTACGGGCTGTCACATGATCAACGATGGTTATTGGCGAGTTGTACCAACGAAACTGGCATGGTTATGGAGACGTTTGTTACTGTGGTTGAGCCATGTGGGTAAGTGACAGGAAAGTTGTACGTAGAGTACACGCGTAAAAACGCGCATCTTGTAACAAACCTGCAGCAGACTTGTAGCAATGCTGTTCCAACAACTTGTCAATCGGATGTGTTCGCACTGCTTGTTCCCAGCTTGTTGACAACTTGCTACACGGTTGTTGAGCTCAACACACTTGTTACAAGTTGTTCGAACAACTTGTTAAATCGTCCGACAAATCAACAAGTTGTGAGTAACAACCTTGTAGCAACTTGATAAAATATCAACATTGTTACTTCGAGAATATAAGCAGCCACATAATGACTTTGACTGTCGAAACGTTAGGTCGTCGATGCAATTTATCCGGGGATAACATTCATTTGCTTGAACCAGAATTTTGCAACTATTTTTTAGCCTAACAGCAAAGCAACGTCGTACAAGACTACGGATTAAAGCACTCAGGAGGCTGTGGGAATTTTGTCAAGGGATTACGTCATCCACGGTAGCAGACTGGAGACTGGTCATTGGAAAACTGGGCACGTTTTCACGGCATGAATTACGAGGTACGGTTGACTATAATACTATATTTGTACAAGATAGCTCCATCAGTTTTCTCTAGTGGTCCAGTAAGAGGAATCTTCTCTGATTGCTTTGGTGTCGCTACAGGAGGAACCATTAGAGACCTTAAGATCTAGGATGGAAATGTGACGACACGTCTAGTAACTGGACACAATGAAATTAATAATATTTAAGAAAAGAAATGAATAATTAAAATCCCACAGGAGATTCATACGGTCGTCCATGCACGGTCTGTTTACAACCGCGGTGAAGCAGAACTCTTGCGTCCTGTGTACAACGTTTGCATTTTAGTGCGTAAGAAGCGGATACTCAGCAAATTGGTTCAGTACTAATGTGTAATTCTACTCAATTGAAAGCCTCTGTTTTGGTCTCTTCAACTGTACTTTGTCAATAATTTAAATTTTTCTTCCTGGAGGTCTAGTTGGTTGATTGATTGATACTAGAGTATATCTTATTGGTCCAGCGTTACTACAAGAAGAAATCTAAACTAACTTTAGGGCCTGCGTCACTACAAGAGAAAACCTAAACTAACTTTAACTGTTTAGAACTTGATAGACCCAGAGCTCGAAATAGGCTGGCCATATTTCAGAAATAAAACGAAATTCAACAAAAACTAAATTTTTTTTTAGATTGGGATGAAATCATTCGCGGCCATTCGTCAAGCGAGTGCACGGATCGTTGTGATGCGTGTTCTTCGTTACGTTCTCACGCGAGATTTCAAAGCGTGTCCGTCGTTTCGTTGCATAACGAACTGTGTATCCGAGTTCACCTTGCCAAAGGTAAGTTTGTTAGAAAATTGTGTAAACGAGTTTAAAATGAAAAGAACCTACTTTAACGGTTTCAGCAGCATATCCTGTTGCCTGTTGTGTATTTTTCGTCTCTTTTACATTCTTTATTTGAACACAAAACTTGGAAAATCGTAGTTTCTAATTATGCGAGTTACGCCGCCATTTTGTTTATTTATGTACGTAGTCGGGGCGGGCAACCATTTTTCACTTGTTACCCGGCGAGATACATTGCATTTATCTGAAGTCACGTGAACACAAATCAGCCAATCACGTTTCGTGTTCACCCTGGCTATGTAAAGGAGCGGTCATTCATGCTGGGGGGGGGAGGGGGGGGACCGAAGAGAATTGTTTTTCTTGGTAAAAATTTTGCTGATCCAACCATTAAAAAGTCGAAAAATTTTTTACCCAACTTCAAATATCAATTAAAAAATAAATAACCCAACCGTGGCGAAAAACTTTACAAAAGGATACCATTCAATTGTCACACATGTCCTTTACGGCTTCTCTGACGTGTGTTTGATAACTGTTTGTGCAATTTGACAAAGTTGCATGTTGTCTGCACATGTACTTTCTTTGGAGACACCATTTGCCTCCCAACAAATCAGAAAATGATCAAGATAGTGACTCTGATTAATTGATTTACATATTGTATTGAAATATGACTGTTGACATTGCTTTTTAGTCTTCAATATTTGAGTGAGTCATGAGTCTTTTGGAATGACAATAAATTTTTATTACCCAACCCTTGTTTTGTTTTTCATTTACCCAACCTTTTACTCACTCAAAATTTTGTTTACCCAACCCCGGCCATAAATTATGACCGGTCCCTAACTAATGTATTTTATTTTCACTTGCAGTTACGACGGCGTTCAATAACTACCGTGAACCGGACACGACTATCGTAGAATCTGTCACTCGACAACGAATATCGACTTCGTTCATTGTCATCAACATTGAAAATTCTCAGTCCACCAGACTCGCACAGCTTGACGGTATACATGATATGGATGAACGCGTTGGATTAGACAGCGAACTCATGATGTCCGAACCGAATACGGAAGACGACGACGAGTTGCCGATGATGCCCTTATTTGGTAAGTAGCGTTTCAAACACCATTGATATAAAGACATTTTCCTGATAGTAAAGCTAATTTAAACACCTAACAATTCGATATGCAAATAGTTTAATACTCTCTGTCAGTGTGGGCAGTACCAATGTGAAATTGCTGTGCTGAGTGGTTATATTACTACTTGAAATAAACAAGCAGAAACTCGACGTTTCGAGCGAAGGCCCTTCGTCAAGAGTTAGTAGCTCGAAACGTCGAGTTTCTGCTTGTTTATTTCAGGTAGTAATATAACCACTCAGCACAGCAAATAGTTTAACAGATTAAAATATATCTTGTCATCAGGAATATTTTGGCTTTAAATTAAAGGATACTCCATTCAGTTGTAGCGTTCAGATCAGTCGTTTTCCTCTAGTTTTGCACCGGCTACACACGTAAAAAC